GGGTTCGACGAGTGGAAACTAGAGACCCTGAAAAAGACCGAGAGAAACTCATAAACTAATGCGAATAATAACAAGACGCTACTGTAGTAGTATCATGACATCGCATGAGATTGGATCGAGCCCTGCATACGTGCACCATTGTCGCCGCACTGCGGGCATCCTGCTCCGCTTAGACGCTCACCGCTCGTCTCATCTAATCAGTTGCCCATTACTACCTATCCTCTCTTCTCTTCTTTTTAGCCGTGATGCGTTGAACCCTCCTCGGCTCGGCATCTGTTTTATTATTCGTACAAGCGCCCACCAATCATTGGACCCTTGAACACAGATAGCGTGGGGTGTGTCTTGTGTCCCCCAATCCATCCCCAATCTCTGAAAATCGAGATAGTTATTGGCTGGCTTATTATAATACCAAGCAAGGTCTTTGCAACTTCTCCAGTGATAAGCAGGATCGCCAGGAATAAGAGGTCATGTTATGAAAAGAGTATTCTATAGTTCGATGACCCCAGTATTCTTATTCAGGGACTCTTGGTACTTGCTTTTATAAAGTATTGATCTGCAGCGTTACCTCATTCTGCCTGCATATTCCATGCAGGTTGTTTGTGCTCAGTCAGACAGGAATAAATAAGGTGATTCTTTGATTCTTCTTCTTTTTGGTACAGTCAGGAATCACCTCACAACATCTAACCGGTCCGTTCAGCCTATCTGTAATTATCTGCCCAATACCAAAACAGCTTGAGAATGGTTACGACCCTACTCTTTAGCGAGCCTCAGTCCGAGATAAGGGTCCGCATCAGAGCCACTACAGTCTAGCTCAGGCCCGGGTTCTTTCGGAATTGGGTTTTCAGTTGGTGCGCTTGGCTCTTATGGTGGGGATCCCGAACTTTCCCCCTCTCCAACTTGCTAGAGTTGGAACCAGAAAAATCACGACAGGGGCGCTTGAGAATCTGCCCACTGTAAACCAATTCTCCATTTTGCGCGGCTCTGTCGGTCATCATTCACCGATGCTACCACTTCGTCTGCCCTGCCTCGGGCCTCTGATCCGTCAGGTCTGGCCTGCGATCATAAAACGTCAGCCCAGAATTCAACGTTAGTGTAGAGGTGGATATCTCAAACCCTTGATAGAGACGCTCTTGCGGAGCCAGTACTGAACCGCAGTCGCCCACCTAACTAGACTACCTCAAGAGGTGCAGTGTCCGAGGCGCTTCTACAAGCCGCCTTGAGCGGATTAATGGATATTGCAGCCGCTGTTGAAACCTCGGTCTTCAAATATGCCGTAATTTGACGCAAGCTCATGAATCGCGTACGGGATCTTCATCATATATCGAATATCATGACACAGCGTTTTAGTTTTACGGGGTATTTGACACTGCCGCTTTGCATCATAATTCAACATGACAGATGAACAAGTGATTGCAAGCCATCATGAGGTTATTTTCGACGCAAATGGGCAAGGGAACTGGTTTGTTGGTTCTTCCCCGTTGATTGTTTCATCATTCCCTCCGTCTTCCCCGGCCTTGGGCATGCTCTCCTCCGGGGAAAGATACGTACTCCCGAGCCGGGGTTTTGCCCGCCGCGCCGATCCGTCCTCCGGCCTGTAGCTAAAGCTTCAACCTCCAACCACAACAAAAAAACACAAAGCCCAACGAGACACGGCCAACAACCCCGGATTCGCCATGACGTCTGCCGTCGACTCTCCGCAGTCGAGTCTCTGGTTTGTCGTCCCGGGACCCATTCGAAACCTGTTCAACCACTTCCCCCTTCACGTATACAGCCCCGAAGGCCTTCCCGCAAGGTCCCCCACCAGCGTGCGCCAACGACCGGCCCTATATGTTTTTGTGGCAGATGAGGATGCTTTGACAGGGAAGCCGAGCTATAATCCTTCATGTCTGAAGTGGCAGGTGGGTTTATAGTTGAGGGACACGAGTCGATAGAGGCATTGTGCTAATGCTATCTCGACAGACGGTGTTGAGAATCGCTGGTATTGACTTCGATATCGTACCTTCGAATAACCACGCTTCGCCCTCAGGCGCACTGCCCTTTCTCCTACCACCGGCGTCGCAAGTTTCGAAACCCCTTACTGGCGAGAAGATTCACAAATACGTGTGCGAGCACGCTGTCCATGAGCTATCAAGCGCCACATCACCCCGCCTTGAAGCCTACCAAGCTCTCCTGACACAAAATATCCGACCAGCTTGGGTATGTACATCACCGTCACAAAATTGGAATGCATGCTAACATGTTATAGCTATATGTTCTCTACCTCCTGCCCGCCAATGCCCCTCTCCTCAAAAGCCTCTACCTTCCTTCCTCTATGCTCCTTCGTACGCCTCTCCACCAGACACTCCACGCCGCGGCCACTTCCGAAATACTCAAGACAACACGACGCGCGACAATCTCGCCGTCGCAACTTCTAGTTGACGCCACAACTGCCCTGCGAGCACTATCATCCCTACTAGGACAGGATAAATGGTTCTTTGGTGCTAATGGGCCAGGCTTGTTTGATGCAGACGTGTTTGCATACACCTATCTGATAGATGAAAACTCTCTTGCTTGGCATGATAAGTCATTGAGTCAGTGCTTGGGAGGACTGGATAATTTGAAGAGGCACAAGGAACGGCTATACAAAAAGTGCTGGGGGGTGGACACAGTGTGAATCTATCAGGATGCCCATTATCCAGGAGGATATCTTCATCCCATCGTCGTAGGGAAGACGAGACACGTGCTGTATAAATATGTACTATATATATCGCAAAGGAACTGGCAAGGGAAAATAGATGCGGCCAAGCAGCCAGCGCAGAATCCGGTGCCTGGAGGAATATGCTGAAAATCGATTTATCACTGATCGTCGACATTGGTCTTATCTATGTGCCGGGCATTGTACAACCCGCCGTTCTTTGCCTGCAAGAGGGGAGTTGTTGACCTATTATCCATGAAGCCATCCCCAATCTCTTCACCCGTCTATAAGAGTTCATTGGGAACACAGAACCTCCATACGAAATGCGTTGTATCGACAAAGTGCCACTCTCAAACGAGCACAGTATCTTACAGGCTCGTGTGGTAAGAAGTGAGCAGAAACAGAAAACAAGAGAAACTCCATACTCATAGCATTACCCTGTGAAACGCCAATGACCATAAAACCCCGAGAATGCAAGCCGGCAATTAGGCAGAAGCAGGCATGTCGGCGACGCCGGAATCAGTGTTGCGGGGGTTGTGGGATTCCCTTCAAGACATCGTTTACTGAAGCAAATGCTCCCTCGCCACCGTCTTGGCGAAGGTCTTCAAGAAGCACGCTGGTCTGAGCATAAACTTTCTCTAGTGCTGCTCGAGACGATTTGCCGAGGGATACTGCTTGTTTGTTAGTACTGTCAACAGCTGATATGTTCCTCTGTTCAACTTACGTAGAATGGCCGAGTTTAGTTCCTCCGCAACAGTAACTCTACCATTCCTATCCAAGAGGTGGCTGACTTGAGGCACCTTGAGCGGGTTTTCGTATGCCAACAATGCCCAAATCTCATTAAGTGCCTTACTGACCTCTACCCGTGGGTCATTGACGTATTGTTCCTGGAGTGTCCGTCCGTACTCCAGCATGTTGCGCTCAAGCTCTGCAACTACCGTCTTATTCTCACCACCATCGACATCCCTCGAAGTATTTTCGCTGCCGTTAAGATCCAGATCCATCGTCTGAGGTGTGGGGTTGTTAACATGCCCATTACCCTTGGTCTCATTGCGCATGTTGAGCTGGGCCGCCTTTCGCACCAACTCGATAAACTTGCGACATTGCAATCTGAAATAGACTTGTTCGTTATCCTTTAAAACGTGGGGATAGTATGCATTGGTATACTTGAGCGCCCTGTCAATATCCCCTTCGAGGATTGCACGCCGGATCCCTGTGTTGTGGTCAGAAGTATGACAAGGCAACAAGAAATTGTGATCTTACGTTGGCGATTATTTGCGTCTTCGTCATCTCTAATACTAACACCGTCGACCTTGACTCCGGGGTCAAGGCTTAGAGCTTCTTTTTGCTTCTTCATGTCTTCTGCAAAAGCCCGAGCTGTACCAACGTAGCCATCATGTTGGAGGAACTGGAGAACAAGTGCCTGGATTACATCGGTTTCGCTCAAGTTTGGGACGAGACTTGACGTGTCTGTAGCTTGAATATCTTTCTGGATTCTGTCGCGCTCTTCCTAAAAGGGCATTAATTATGCATCATGCTGTGTGCGGGGTGTTACACAGGCCTACCTGCATCATGTCGTCGATGTTATAAACAAAAGGGGTTTGTCCAAAATTGACTCGGATGGACTCGCCGGGCTTCTTGAGGCTAATCGCTGGGTATAGCCTACCTCTGTTAACATCGTTGAATGCCGTGACTATTGCTTGTTAGCAAGGGACGCAAGATGACCTGCTTCAGGAAGCAAGAAAACCGAGGACCCTATCCTGAGTGATAAGAGATTTAGGTAAATCCAGTGCAGACTTAGATGCTCATCACTTAGGATGATGACAGGCCTAAGTTTTATTAATTTAGGGTGGGCTTGAGAGGCCCTGGGGTCAGTCTTTTCGTCCCCCAGGATAGAGGCCCCAAGTTTTCTTACTTCATCGGGCTGTTGGTGAGCATACACATACTTAGCTTAACTCCATTTTTGGTGAAGAAGGCGGTGTTCTCCCTGAAATTCACACCACATCCAATCACGTCATATGCGTTGTATCCAGGGCCGTAGTGTTTTCCTATATTTGATCCTGCAAAACATCGCCCGTCGTCGCCGTGGTAGCCCCAGGCCTCGGGCTCCCAGCCAATAGGCCGTGACAGATTGACGTTCTTGGTTGCAAACCCAATACCTATAGTCGCATCGTCGCGTTTAGCTGTTGCTATTTGCACCTCGAAGTAATAAATTCCGCACTGGGGGGGCATGTAGTGGTCGGCGCGGACTGCACAAGCCATGTGGTCTTGGTCGTGTTGATTTTTAGATCCGATGTACTTCACAGTAAAGCCGTCAGCCTGGATCTCAATGCCTCCCCACTGATCATCCTTATTCCATTTTGTTGGCAAAGGTGCAAGGTCATCCTCCTCCTCAAAGGCCGGAGGGCGCTCTATAACAGTGTGCGACATGCCTCGATGCGAACCTGGGGGCAAAGGATGCTGATTGAACGTAGCGGAGTGCTGGGATAAACCATTCGCTGGAGTCGAATCGCGGCGGGACTGAACTTTAGCTTCGTGTGCCTCTTGGAGTTTCTGGACGTATGTCGAGCTCTCGAGATAAGATGGAATAAAGAAAGTCTCGTCCTCGTTCTTGGAATTATTATCAACTGCCCCAGATTCCACAAGCATGTTAAAGGCTCGTGAGAAGGACGGAAGACCAGTTCTCCGAGCGTTCGTCTCAATCCCAACAGTTTCCATGCTGGTATTCGTCGCTTCGGAGCCCAGAAGGTTGAGCTCGCCGGATGCACTGAATATCGAAGTACGGGCAGGATGTGTATAAAAGTTGGGAGTATTGGCGATAGACGAGTTATGCGGAGGAGAGAAATGAGCGTGGCGAGTGGATGGTGAAGCTGGTTCGGGACGAGCAGACGAGCGAGAAGCCTGGTGAAGGGGGCTTGCCATGTCCACGACAAGCAGAAACGAAACAGCCCGGCTATCACCTAAGGTACCTTGGTAGTAAGACACCCAACAGCAAAGGCAGGTGAGTTGACTGCCAGGTGAAGCCCTAGGATGGGTTCCAGCGCAGGCTTGTAGTGGGGGTGTGAGCTATAGCGTAGTCGGAAACAGTCGTAACAGTCGTCTGGGAGGTGGAAGCACGAGCTTCGGATGCGTCGACAAATTACCGGCAAGTCTGGCAAAGCGGAGCAGAGAGTGAGGTAAACAAACAATAGCGATAGACTCAAGTGATCTTGCAGTTGGGGGAACAAGTCGACTTATGTACTATAGCGGTGGGTAGTTGTAGGAGAAGACGAGTGGATGGTGATGGTGATGGTGATGGACGGGGCGGGTAGAGGTGGAGGTGGCTCCCGTCAGAACAAGAGCGCGTCACCGTTACCACTCGCTAACTTCTAGCAGCTACAGAGACTCAGGTTAAAAGAAGAGGAAGAAGAAGAAGATACGGACGTATCTGAAGTAGGAATGACTCGTCAATTAGCCATCATTAATAAGTTAGTAGTCAACATGAATCGAGTCTGGTTTGACGAGAAAAGCCGATACTGTACATATCACATCACTCATCATGGCTACCAACTTGCGCTATCTATCACGAGGGTCACTCTCCTCCCCCAGCGGGTATAGTCCTGCCTGGCCTGGCCTGACTTGACCTTGTCTGTTAAGCTTTCACCTAGCAAACAGCTGCATCAACTTAACAGTGGAGGCCCAGCTTCCCCGCTGCCGGGCCGGACCCTTTCTAACCTGTATTGCTCCAGGTCCCCATGCAAATGGAATCGCCCCAACATGGCCAAAGGCTGAGGCGTGATGATGGACGATAGCACGGTAGCACATGGTCCTGAATCTATTTCTTTCAGCGCGTTTCCGTGTTCCGAAAAGAAACATTCGAGTGATGACAGTAGCAATAGCTAAACCTGCCCTACCCTGGTGCAGAAACGAGTTGAGGTTTCCTCGCTTATAAGTTGGGGAGGTTATTTGCTGACTTAATCCGGTGCCTCCAATGAGCATCTCCATCTCGATATGGATATTCCAGGTTGGTTTGGGTTTCGGTTTCAAACCTGTTCGCTCAAGCCCCTCCAGGCATCATTCATCAGCCACCATTTTTTATCCTAAAAAGCAAGATCCCACGATTAACCGCAACCCATTCAAAGCACAATCAACCAAGTATCAATTGAAATCCAGGGCAATACAGTTACACTTTCATCCCCTACCATAGTCAAACAGGCATGAAAGTCACGGGACGCCTCTGGTGTCGATGACTAAGCTTTGTGAGCTCCCTGCGACCACACCACAACATCAAGACATGACCCCGATGAGAAAGACGAACCAAAACGTATCCACAGTCTGGCCATTGGGCCATCTCAACACCCGAAAACTCTTCCCCGACCGCTGGATTTGAGAATTCCCTCATGTAAGAGATCATTACTCGTCGAAACAGGCGATAAAATGAAGACATGTGACTTTGGCTCCAACATTGCGATCAATCATATTACCTGATGAGAACGCTTAGGGAATCATTCTTGGCATGAAGAGCTTTCTGCCACGTCTACTTAGAGTCATCGCGAGATGGCATCTGCGTCACAGCTTCTTTTAGACCTACGTGGCGCGCAGTCTCAAGGGGTGAGCCATTAACGACTGAAATTATCGACACTACTTTTAGATAGGCTGCGACAAGAGCACAATGTTTGCAGTAAACAGCGGATTAGCGCCCGTCTTCCAAGCTATGGGCGCGTGGATGGTAGGGTAGAATGACAGATAACACATATCCTTCAAGAACAAATATTTGATTGCTCATTTCAGAGAATTACCAGAGTATATCTAACATTACACCATCCTAACAGTAATTGTACATCAAAAATATGCTCCGCCAGCCCTGGTACGGTTTAATGCCAATCCTTTTCCACAGCGTTCCATCCTCGCTATTCCGTAACGCCCAGCGACACCAGCGTCGCTTTTTTGAAAAACATAAAAAGCTTCCGAATGAATGAACGGTCATGCTCGGTATGAGAGCACCTCAGTCTCACTGACAGGCCAAGGATCAGTTGTCTGCCAACCTAGAACGCCCGCAATATCTCGCGCTATAAAACATTCTCTGGTATCAGAGCCAAACAAAAAGGGAAAATATGTAGCATCGTAGAGTGAATATTTATGAAGCAGCGGCGATAGCAAGAGGGGCCGGCGACGAGGCGTGGTTACTGGGCGCACTTTGTATCTCCACGTCGTTGGCAGTATTGCTATTGCTAGCACTGTTGCTCTCGTGGCCGTTCTCTTTGTTCTCCTTACTGCTGCCCTCAGCTGATGCAGCAGTAGAATCCTCGGCGCTGGATTCGGGGGCCTTCTTTTGAGGTGCCACCCAGCGAGGAATCTCCCATGCCACACCGGTGAAGCTCTTGAGTTGGAATCCACCCTTGGCCCATCGGCGACAGGGTTTGCCTGAGCGATCGAGAGCGCGAAGTCCGGCGTTGATAGCCCCTTGATTCGCTTTGGGCCCAAGTTTGTGACCTCCGGCGGGCTTGGAACCTGAGTGATCGATCGTTCCGTCCTCCCTGGGAAGTGTGGTCAGTTCAATGTTCAGATATGTGCTGGGGTTGCAAAAACTTACAGACGGGGCTTCTTCTTGGGGCCAGGCTTTCCTCGAGGCTTGGGGACACCATCTATTGTACCGTTGGCGCCAGCGGCAGATCGCTTGACGCCCTTCTTCTTCGGCCCATCGGTAGGCGGTCCCATAGCCGAAGGGGCTGGTGTCCCGTCGGCGGGAGTTACCTCAGGAACAGGAGTAGCGGCGTTGGAGTCCGAGGCATTGTCGCCATTCGTGTTGCTGGCTGGTGGTTGCGAGCCAGAAACGGACACGGCATCGGTAGGAGAGTCGGCGTTGGCTTTTATGTCCTTGGAGGGAGATTCTTCCTTGATAGAGTCGGGCGCGAGCAGAGCACGCAACTTGTCGGGCGACACCTTGCGAGTAACAATCAAGCTGACCTTGGTGCTGGACTTGCGTCGCGCGTCGGCGGACTTGACTGGAGGAGCCATGGTGCTGAGAGAGGTCGATGTTACAAAGAGCTGATGGTGATGCTATTGTCTAGGCAGGGTTGTCTGACGAAAAGGTGATGTGTGGTGCTGATTGATGATATTTTGCAAGCGGCGAAGGATAGTGGAAGAAGGTTAGGGAAAGGAGCAGGATTTGAGAATGGACTGGTGACGGGAGAGGCGGCAAATAACTAAAGACCCGGTGGTGATCCCGTGGTGGACAAGACGTGGTCAGGGGTGGTGGGCTTTTGGGGCTTGCGTGGAGCGAGTCTTAGTAGTAGTGGGAGATTTATTAGGAGGAGCTGAGTTGCGATCACAGGCAGACAGACAGGTCGGTTTGTCATTCAGCCTGGTGCCGGGCCAAGATTGATTTCAGGGTGGTGATGATGGGTTTGCGGTGGTGAAAAGTGGAAATGAAAGTAATGGAACAGAGGGCAAAAGCCTTGTCTTGTAAGGTTGGGGTCTTGGTATTGTTGTCATTTTGGATTCTGGAGCTGGGGCCGAGGGCGGCGCACAAGTAGAGGAAAAATCGGTTGGGTTGGGTTGGTTTGATTTCCCGCGTTTCTTCACAGTCACTCAGTCAGAGCAGGAGCGAGAGCAAGTGGCAGTGGCAGACGAACAAACTTGGGGATTTCAGGCCCAGGTCCAGCCCGTCTCCTCTGTTACCAGATTGAGTTTAGTGCCACTTCTGCCGCATGGCAGGGGTACCGCTTCTTTCCAGCCAATCAAAGCCCCGGCATGTCCTTAATCTCTCTCAAAGCAGCGCCTCGAATTCTATTGTTATTCCACTCCTCCTAGGCGACTGAGCGAACTCAGCGACCGAAAGCTCGTTTCAATCGAGTTCTCACGGTCACTTCATCGCCTTCAGCCCCCGAATTGTCCCTGCAATCCATCAGCGATGATCACCACGTATTTTGATCGCCAAAGAGGCACGAATTTCATTGCCTCAACGTGTCAGTAGCCATTTGATCGCTAAATATGCACAAGACTCTTCACGGCTTCATATTGCGATGCTCTGTAATGGTCACCATGACCCTGATCAATATTCACATATATTGAGTAACCCATGAAACCGACAAGACTCACCTCAGCCAATTCGGAGAGCACTGTAACTTCCATCTGACACTTTTTATCCCCCTCATTCAGTCGCATTTGCGTGATAGCCCTCCCTTAGCCCGCGATGACGGTTCAATATCACTCAGCAAGCCCCTGCAATAATCAGGGTGGCGGAACTCTACGATTCAATTCACCTCCAGAATAACTTGGCATTGCTTTTTAACTGCCACTCGGATTTCTCTAGCCTGTCTAGGGAGGAAAAGAAAACTCAGGACCTCGATCCCAAATGATAGAAAGACAAAAAGACAAAGGTAACATAGCATAAATTTAGGACACCTTTTGCTGGGTTGATTTTGACCCCCTATCTTCAGGTCTGATCTTGTCTTGCTCCCTGAGGCCTTTGAATTCAAGTCTGATTCCAAGTGGTCAAGTCCCTTGAAATTTCATCTTGTGCAAATCATCATCGAATACCTCACGATCCTTGCAGACACGAATAACAGAAAATCCCGATTAATATTTACCTTTGAAGCTTTCGGTTTCTCTATTCAAACTTTCTCCCCCAAATGCCACATCGCGTGGTTACAATTAATTATCCACCTGTGATTGTAAAAACTTACTCCGGTGCAACCGAGATCCATTCGTAGTTTGGTGGTACCGAGCGAAGTATCCCGGCCGAGAAATTAACTTACCTGACCAAGACCCAGGCGTCGTCACGACTCCGCCAAACAAATCTTGTTTCCAATTCTGGCTTCCGTCATCCGTGATGCACCAGAGAGATTCCGCTGCGCATTGCCTCGATTCCCCGCAGCGATCAACATGAGGGACGGGCTGCACTCGGCAACAATATCAAGAATACCTGCTTCAGCGCATAACCACGCTATATTTGACTATCCATATGATTCATTCGGGGTATCTACAAAGAAAACTTAGCGTGACACTGCCTAAATTGCCCACTCACCACAGGAATGAAAGGCTTCCTTGGTCCGCGGTGAAACAACAAGTGTTGATCCATTCATTGTATGACCACCCGAGACGACTGAGACACCATGGCAAGCGTTGCTATCACGATAGTTGGAATGTGTTGCTCCCCTACAACCTAAAGCCCGTGACAAAAGGTATATCATGGCAACCTGTCAGCCAGCAATGGACTGCAGAGCATCGCACATTGTTTGTTCAATTCTTTTCCATCACCAAGTCGACACAATGATTCGATTATACATTCTTCTCTGGCTTCTACCATGTCTCTTCCTTACCACCCCATTCACCCATGCGGCCCTTCTCCCTCGTCTCAAAGCTTCGTTCAGACTGCCAGGCGTAGTCTTCAGCGAACCAGTGGCTCGATCTTTCAAGGTGGTGCCTTTCAAGGAGCTTCCTGGGGAATCACACCATGGTCATGGACTTCGCCAAACTCTCGGCCTTGTGAAGAGATTGGTTGAAGACCAGGGCGATATGGTTGAGGTTACCGAAGAAGCTCTTCAGGAACTTCTGGATCAGATAAACAAACTCCATGAGCAGGTGAACAGCATGATGCCATCTGGTGCCACGGACAAACAGCCTACTCAAGGGACAGGCACTTCGTCAGGAGGCCAGTCTGGCCAATCCGACCAATTACCTGCAGGTTCTTCTGATGAGTTTACAGGTAGCGAACAGTCTGATGAGCCTGTTCCCTCTGGCAAAGCCAGCGTTTCTATACCAGGCGTTGCTTCGGATCCATCAGAAGCTCCTGTGGTTTCGGACCCTTCTCTACGCTCCCCGTTGCTGTCGCAGGCAGACGCCGCCACGATTGTCGAGTCTCAGGCTCCTGGCGCTCCAGCTCAACTACATGCATCGCAGATAGATACTAGCAGGCAGGCAAAGACTGATCTGGTGCAGCCCGCGGCAAATCCTACCCAGGTGATAAACGGCGAATCTACTAACAGCGAGCCTGAAGCTGAAAGGCTGTCTGGCAACAGCGCTGCCGTGACACTGCCTGAGGGTGCAGGTGCTTCTGGAAAGGGGGACGTCGTGGAATCAGGTGGCCGTCCCAAGAATGCTGTTGCTCAACCGACTGGTGAAGTTCAGGCTTCGACGGGAGCACAACTCAGCACAGCACAAGATGTCAAACCAACAGAGGAAGGAAAGGCCAAAGATCCTCGTATCTCCTCTGCCAAGCAGGCTCTTGAGGCTAGCAGTACTGCGCCTGGGGGGGCATTTGTTGAGTATCCCGATGATGTTGTCCAGACGGTCACGACCAGTGTCAGCTTTGGTGGGCAGACTAGTACCTCAGCAACGAAGGAGACCCAGAGGCCATCTGGTGCCAAAGATGACGAGTGTGTTGACGAAGTAAGTAATCTACCCCTCATAAGTCGAAACCCTAACTGCACACCAGGTAGTAGGATCGAATCCGCGAGCGAGCCAGCACAAGATACCACGATAACTGTCGTCCTCGTACCTACTCCAGAAGCAAACCTTTCCAAGGCTTCTGCAACGGAATCCGGGACACAGATAACAGAAGACTCCCCTGCAACTGCCAAGGCTGAGGGAGCTGCTCCAGCTTTAGAGACAGAAGCCACCTCCACCCCGGACATCAACGCTGGAGACTCTCAGCAGCTTGCAGCACCAACCCTACTCTCAAATCCATCTGCTGTTCCTAGACCTGAGCCGACAGCGTTGAGCCTTAGAACTCTTGTTTTCACATCAGTCCTTACAAGGTCTTCAACCATCCTAGCAACTACTGTACGCACGGAGTTTGTTAATGCAAATCAACCCACTGCATCATTGAAAGCCCCCGGCCATGTTTTCAAAGAAGACGAAGATACAGACACGAATGCAGCGTTCAATAAGGGTGGAAAGCTTGCTTTGGAGGAGAGTGTCAATAAGGAAAGCACACCAGGTACAAACATCCATAACCAAGACGGATTGGAGAACTCCACTAATCATTTGATAGAAACTCTTAGAGGAACTCCTCTCGCGTTGGAGACAAAAGCCATTCTGACTACAACAACGACCACCATCAGTTTGAGCCATGTTGATGTCATGACAACCCCTGAGCCCAGCCAAGAGGCTCGGTCTATTTATTCACCTTCATCCCATGATGCTGGAGGCATCAACGAGACGTTCCATGCAACACCAAACAGTGGATTCAGAACAATCCCAAGGTCATCAGCTAGTCTGGCGGAGAGAGCATAGATGCAGATATGCATGATTTGCTCTGGAGTTAAATGCCTTAATGATGTTTGGGTTTGGATGTTTTAGAATGATCACTATGAATTTATGTTGGATTCCCCTTTTGGTACGCTTATCATATAAATGAGCATTAATTCCTATTTCACCCACAGTACTGTGCCGTTGAAAAAGCAATAGCATGTAACTATCCACAGTCCTGCGAATGCTACACTCTATCAAACTTTGAAACCGGGCAAAGTTGTATCCCAAGTCAAAGGCAAGCCGTAGTTGTGTGTAGACATGCTCGTCACGTAAGAATGCGGATCTAATGCTACGAAGAGTCATTAGGAGGAAATAGTGAGGGTATTGTTTGAAGAGGCGACTTAAATGATCTCGGACAAGACTAAAAACCAGTATGGACGGCATCGCGGGAGTTGAAACAGCCGACAAGAGAGCATGCCGAGCTCGACGGCCTTGAACCAGTAGCTAGAAATGGCTTTACGCTGTTACGACAGTGATCAACACCAAATATACAAGGTTCATAAACAGAATATCTAAACAGTCTGCAAGATCAAGCTCATAGTATCAGCTAATTTTGTTGATGCCATGGGGCATTACAACATCACAATATCTAAGTGCTCACTGCGGAGACGTTTGTGAGCATCCATCGAGATATTCAAGGAGTGACCAGAAGCGGCCTCCGGTGAAGTTCGTCACAGCAAGTCTTTTCAGATCAATTACCTCACTGGCACTGCCAATGCAAGTCTTAGATGTAAGTTTTCTAACAGGGTTCCCAGAGTTGATTGTGTCTAGCTGGCCGTTGTTGGAATCCGAATATATTACACCATGCTGTAGGGTCTCCATACGAGTCAGTACCGAAGAATGCATGCACAAGCTTAAGCTACTGGCATAATCTTGAGGGGGCTCTAACCTAAGTCGTTGATAATACTATCACGTATCAAGATTATCGCAAGGGATGCGATCGGGACTTTGAAGAGTAAAGGTGACGAGACATTTTAGCATTTCTCGATGTTCCATCGAGATTCTTTTGTTCTTCCTGAAAGCGTTTCTATTAACTGTATTAAGGGTCATTATTTGTACTATGGCTTCTTACTGATACTATGCATATTCCCAACTCCTCGCTGTCGTCCTACAACTCAGCGAGTAATGCTCGGTATCCGTAATTCTCACTCAGTAAGTATGGAAGCCTTGGCTAGGTAATTTATTCATGATCTAAAAACCGAAGGTTGATGTGGGTTCGATCAATATTGTAGAGGAATTTGATATCTTGTGGAATCATTCTAGTCGTCAAGAAGGAAACCACTATAATATATCAAGGTTCCTCTCCTGACAGTATTGAATATCCACCGATTTTAGGAAGCAGAAATGACCTCACAACATCAGAGTATTTGCCGTGAGCCCACTGAAACAAAGAGTGTGCTCCTGTATTCATCTAGCAGGCGGTGAAGAGTCGTCTTATGACTAGGACATCGATATAGTGTGTATGCAATGCGAGCTCGATATAGAACCCGGAGATGTAATCCAGATACTCAACGAATAGTTGCATAGTGAAGGTATAGGCCATACTTGATAAGCTGCTCGTCGATGTGGGAAGAATATCAGCTCCTGTACCGTTGCGACACAATGTAGATATGTACTTCATCTATCTTAAGCATATCGATTTACTCATGGAATATATAAGCAAGGCATTGTTGGCCGTCCTTATTTGTACCAGACCAATGTATAATAGCGTTATTGTCGTTATATGGCGGGTTTTGTCCACAATGGGTGTTTGATTCTTTGTCAGATGCGCAGCAGAAACTCGCTCGTACATCTGTATTAGTCTGTCCTGTTTACAAAAGATCTTCCTGGTGAGATTTGGAATGCACCTAAGATGCAGGGATTGTATAGACCAAAAATCATATGCATACATAGATGCTTCTTATTCATCGTACCTACTCAACTACAGACACAGCTGATACCGCTTACAACGTACCTTAATCCTCGCAATTATCCGCCATCATGTGATTCCCATGTTTCAAGTCCCCATTCTCGACAGGTCTGGATACTGAGTAATATGTATAATACATCAAATTTAATTCTCCGGTGAACATGTCAGCCTGAAGCGACCATTGCGGGTTTTATACCACGTTGGGCAATGTCATGTAAGCACTTGTGGCTTCAGCCCCATTGTAACGGTTCTCTGCCACGTTGTGGTCGACCATTTCCTTAACAGCTCCAGAAATGAATGAGAAATTGGAAATGAACCTGAAGTACATTGAACAGCAGACCAATGATAGCCATGCATCCGATATGGTAGGGCAGATCGCAAACGCGGAGGCCCTGTCACTCTCCGTCGCCCGTCGCCCGTCGCCCAGGCGAGTCTTACATGCATAGACCTCTCTTGAGTCTTGGCTCCCATCACATTCTTTTTCTTTGTTCAACTGCGCTCATCGAATTCCGACTTCTGGTTAACCCAGCTGTGAGATAGAATACGCTTCATAGAAGATGCGACGATGAACACTACGCTTTGTTGAATCTCCCGTCAGTCTTCCTTCTGCTGCTCTCATCATGAAGCTTCTCAGTTGTCTCGTCTTTGTCCCTCTTACCGTTGCGCACAACTCACGGCAGTATGAGGCACTCCAAGCGGCTCCTGGCGACTTGATGCCACGCTTCTTTATCGATCGCTCATTTCCTTTGGCAAAACGCGCAGGAGACTGTGGTTCGGATCATCACAACTGTAGGTTCATCCGGATGCTATAATGCTCTCGGACACCAAACTCATTTATGCCACAGGTCTAGAGATTGGATTTCCAGATGATTGTTGCGACAACGACTCTTATTGCTACGTCAACCGAAAAGGCGACCCGAAATGCTGCCCTTTAGGCTCCAACTGCTCCAGCGATTCGCCGTGTAGTTCGAATGCTTATTTCTGTACCCGCACCGTCACAAGAAGTGGAACTGCCACTGCGCAAGAGGGCTGCTGTGATCGCAAGTGCCCCAGGACGAGTCTTTACCTTTGCCCAAGTAGCCTTGGTGGAAACTGCTGCGGCTACAACTCTGAGTGTCGGGAGGGTGGCGATTGCGCCTCTACGAGACCGGCTTCGAGAACCGACCTCCTGTCGCCCATTCCTTCAGGATGTACCACCTCGCAGCATAAATGCTCCGATGGTGCAGGCTGCTGTGACAATGATCAAGAGTGCACCCAGGTCAGTGGTGAGGGATATTGCGCTCAAGCTACACCAACAGAAAGCGGTGTCACAATTGTCGATGACGAAGACGACGGCGGCGGCGGCGGCCTGTCAGACGGTGCAAAGGCTGGGATTGGCATCGGTGTCGTCGTGGGAGCGAGTATCATTGTTGGCGGGCTGACTTGGATGTGTCTGCGCAAGCGACGCCAGCGCACTGCATCAAGGCCATCAGCATCTGGCGAAGGAGAGGGCAGTGCGCCCCCTAGAGATGCCATGACAGATATATCCGGGAGCCATGCCCGGTCAGGCTTGACCCAGGATTACTTTGGACCAGACCCAGCAGCAGGACCATATACAGAACAAGCAAGCTCACGGGTCACCTCACCTGGAAGAACTGCTGCTGTGCCCATGCATGCACAATCCCCTGGAGATATCGCCGCACCCGTGGAGATCGACTCAGCGGATAGGGACGGCAGCGATCTTTTGTCACCCATGTCCAGCCCGAGTATATACCAGACACCCCTTTCTGAAACAATAGACGGCCGGTTCGAACTATACGGTAACGACTCAGCCATAACACCAGACCGTCCTTTGTCAATCGTTCCCACCCCTCCACAGAGTGTAGCGGGGGATGTTGTACTAAAGCAAAAGCAATAATTCAAAGGAGAAATACGTTCCGTTCTATTCGTTTCTGTTACTTATAAACGCCCAGTCAGACCATTCGTGCAAAGGGATGATCCAAATATTCAGCAGTCCCAGCGCGACAAACAAGCGATTATGTGCACCGAAGTTATCCCTCAGAACTCCGCGCCAAAAGAAAAAGTAAAGTATAGAGGTACCACCTAATAGTCCTTACAACGCCGTCAAATGAGATGTACTGGAAATATGAAAACAGTCTAAACCACAATTTCAGTCTTTGGGCCAGCGTTTAGCAGACGACGCCGCCGAAAGGTGCGCAGTTTTGAAGATCTTTGACAAGATCCTCTACGCTGCTCAGATGCTGGCTAAGCAGCTCCTGCTTCTCCTCCGTGGTGAGATAGATGTCACCTTCAGGATCAGAACTTGAACGCTTGCGACGTGAGTCAGCATTGAAGGCACCAGCGAGTTTACTAGGACTTCGTTGAAGCATAGCGGGGACACTATCGCGCTGATCGGCTCGGGGGATCGAAGGAATCTCAGGCATGAGGTAGAAGTAGAGGAACTCAACGAGCTTCAGCTTGACCTCACGGGCGGTGGATCGCGACTTGAAAAGAGAGGTGACAGTGAGAAGACCGTCAAGGCTCTCAAAGGTACGGGTGTTGATTGGGGTCTCGATAAGAGCAGTGACGAGTGTGAGGAGAGTCGCAGATTGGATCGCGGGGCAGTTGAAGGGCTCGAGAAGGTCAAGGAGGAGCTACATGATGTTAGTTTTGTGGTATTTAGCGGCTTAGTCGTTGTGTACATACGTTCATATTCTGTTCTCGGGAAAAGAGAGACTTGCTGGGAGGATGTAGCAACAAGACTCCTTGTATGAGGTCAAGGGCACTCAGAATCAATAGATCGTTTCCACCATCACCACCCTTAGCCATGAGTCGATCGAGAGTGCTGATAAGGCGCATCGCAACATTCCATTCGAATCCCTCTTGCAGCTTGAAAAACTCTCGAAATGCCGGGTCGCGGGAGAGCTGGGAAAGATCCTTTTGAGAAGGTGTTGATCCTTCACTCCCATCATCGTCGGCATCCCGGTTTCGATGTGCACGGTCGTTTCGAGAGTTTGCTTTAGAGAGACAGATCTGAGCTAGAAGGCCTTCGACCTGGCGAAGGCCCTTACGGACTTTTGGTCCGTCATACGAGGAAAGGTTGTCGAAGGCGAGAGACAGAAGAGACTCCATCGTGTATCTGTGCGCGGGGGAAACAGTAATGAACGTTACGTCGGAGACTGTAAAGATGGAAAGGCTGAAGAATATCGACTTAATGCGATTGCGGCTGGTACTTTGTAAAAGAGTGTTTAAGAAAACATTTAATGAAGGGGACAGGAAGAATAGAAGAAATGGAAACTGAGTATCGCAGTCACACCGCCGAGAGTCACCGAGCCCGAGCAATAGTGTAAAGAAGTAGAAAGATGGATGATCGTCGTCAGGTTGCTGTCACCAAACAATCCATGGAGTGGAGCTATCGGCACAGCAACGACCTAGGGAATTCCAAGATTTAAGGGTCGCCAGCTGACAAGCGGGCTGGCATGGTCCGGGGTTACAGGGGCCTACAGGGGATATGCAGCTTGGATCACGCTAGAGTGGGCTGTCAACTGTCATCTGCGCCGTTGGTGAAGGGAATGTCTCAGTAGGTCCAAACAGAATCTTGTTTGTGAGGGATTGAGATGGAAGCTTGGAATAGGATCGGGGCTATAGGTGCGAATATAACAATGGTTGATCCAAGACATGGAATGCCAGAACGCTTGGTAGGTACCTAGGCAGAGACCTGTGGACTTGTTTTACGCAGCAACGGTACTCTACTAGAGGTGAGTAGGTAGGTCTTCGGCAGTTAAGCCGTGAGGACACAACCATAAGGCCCCACCCAAAGCATTTAGTAGTGGAGGTTAGTAGGTTCATGGTTACCTTAGTATTTATCATTGATCAGATTCCATGGCTCACCGATATTGCACGTTCGATAATTCTCACTTCATCATGTCACCTGCTTCGCTTCTCGTCTAGAAGGTAATTATAGGTATTGGTTAGGTTACCAAGGGCCTTCGAAACTGTCTCGACCCAATATCTACTCTCGGCCGATAAACTTAATATACTCTCCCAGCTGGTTCCTGGTTAAATTTTGTTCTCAGTACTATTACTGTAGGAACGTTGGCTTCTTGCGAATTCTTGTTTGAACACGTGAAGAATTTCAATACTGCACTTAGCAGCTACATTCTCCATCTCCAAGTTGCAGTCATCAAAATCACCACTTCAATGATTAAAGGATACTTGTCTCTGATCGAATAGCCTCGCATCATATCCGAGAACTAATGAATGGATGGATGGCAGGAATTATACTAGGAGCGTCAACACAATTCGGCATAAAATCGCCATCGCCCTACTTAAACTCCTCAGACTGACGCAAGATTACCTGCACAGCTTCATCCACACCAGACGCTATCACAGTCGGCTGAAGCCCCAGTGAACACCCCAGTGTATCAGTCCAGCCTTTTCCTTCACGGTCGATCCATGCACTCTTGAATCCAAAGGCTACAGCACCAGTGACATCGAATGGGTTTGAGCTTACCAGCCAAACCCTATCAAGCTGAGACTCCATCCCCGCTGTCTCAGCCATAAACTCATACGTACGAGGATGCGGCTTGAACACCCTGAGAGGGTCGATGCTGACGACTTTCTCGTGGGGAAATATGTTGCTCACTCTTGACAAAGTTGGGCATGTATCGAGTGACGATGTCATCATGGCCTTGGTTCCGTTTGAGAAGATGTAGGGATCGATAGATGCATGTTCTGCCAGTTTCAAAAGCGCTCTATCCACATCTGGGAATGTGTCGAGGCCGTTATATGCATCCATGATACGCTCTTCCTGCTTGGGAGTGAGCTCGACACCAATCTCTTTCGTAGCTTGCCGAAATGACCATCTCGTCAAGTCACTAAATGTGCGATAAGTGCCTCCATATATCATCAGTGATGGCTTTGATTTTTGACCTGTCTCAACCTACCCATGCTGGTCACGCGCCATGTTGATTCAAGCTGATATCGCCTTGCTAGAGCGGCAATTGACTGAGCTTTATCTTGCCCGTATAATTCTGCCAACTCTCCTGCTATCGAACCGGTGGAGAGAATAGTACCGTAGAGGTCGAATGCAATTACTGTCCGTCCCATAGTGACGACTTGAAGTTAGAAAGATGGAGTGTTTACAATGCAGATGGTCGAAGATCGACACAAAGAAGTTCCGAGCTTAAGAGGGGATGGATGCTCACATAATCACCATTGACTACCTTACATACTTAGGTAGCTTCATGCATTTCATGCACAGTTTTGTGAAAGGACGGCAAATGCATGTTCCGATACTTGGTATACTAAAAAGGATGATACAAACAGCCGAAGGAGTTTTCTTTCTTACACTGTGATCTCATTATTCAAATACCTAAGATTGATTTAGATTCGGAGTATTGTTCTGTGCCTGCCTCTAAATTGTCCTAAAAGTTATCTATCGACGTCGATCAAAAGGTTACTTTTTTTTTTAGATGGAATTGTCAGTCGTGTGTATTGACCAGTAGAATTCTTATGCCCTACTAGGCCCTTGAGCTTGAAACCATATTATACGTAATGATATCTTTATATCTTTCTCGGCGAAGTAACTTGAGCCGTATAGCATGGATAACATAAAGTTACCGATTAAAGCACCTCCTCCTAGGGAATTTTCTTTTTTAGGTGCTCGGGGAAATGTTAAGTTGTAAGTGTAGATTAGTAGTGATTATACGAAGTGCAAGTCTTGTCCAGGCAACGTCCAATGATGTTAGGAAACTCGGATGTAAATATTCTTCAGGCGCCTCAAAACTCTGGAAAAAAGCGTTGAGGTGACATTATCGATGACCAATGGCATGTCTAAGATGACAGTTCAGAAGCATATCGAGTATTGTGCTAAACTGACCTCTAGTATCATGCGGCGGCCACTGTGGTATCCGAGCTACTCACCCTATCTGAATGAGACAAAACACTGTTCCTCCGACCAGTGGCATTGTTGTCGGCCTGTTCCTCATCCTTCTCCCTAGCTTCGCTCTTCTCTTCTGTCGGCACAAACTTACTTCTGATTCTAATCTGCTTCCCGTACCGGTAGAACAGAAATGGGATAACGGCTAGGACTGTAGCAACTCCTCCGATTAGACTTCCACCACCACCAACTCCCAATGTATCGAACATTTGGGTTGTGAACAAGGGGGCAGCAGCGCCGCATGCTGATCGAGCAATGGTATTTGCTGCAATAGCAGATGCCGCGTACATGAGATAGACATCAACGAGATACGTCAGGAAAGCCACAAAGATCAACATCAGAGATGTAGCTAGGAAAGTTCCCGCCAGCGTCGGTACGATCCAATGGATAGAGCTACAGGGACCTATGTCAGTATACATACATATCTAAGAGGAAGAATTCAAGCCCGAGAGCGTGTGGTGACTTGAGATATGGGGAGGACTGTGGTATCTCAGTTACTTACTTATATTCAGCCGTCCATGCAAACCAGAACATGGTCACGGCAAATCCAACACCTCCAATCATTGCCAATGGCAGTCTGTCTTCGGGCTCCATCTGTTTGTCCCCATTCTCAATCTTTTTCTTTCTAATTCGCGTATCGATCAAAACTATGCCACCACCGATGAACGCACCTACGAGTACGTTAGTGTAATTACGGTGAAGTCGTATCAATGAAAAGTACTCACCAATAACAGTCCCAATCAAGGGCAGCTCTCCGACACCAGGGTTCCAGCCACGTCGTTGCTGAAACACTATTGGATAGATGCTAAAAAGCATGTATAACAACGTGTAGACTACCGACATGTATACTGCGCAGAGAAAGGATATGGTGTCAAAGAGGATAATCCACGGTCTGGTCAAGGCGATACGGTACACAGTTTTCAGTGTACGATCGCCCTCTTCAGAACGAGCTTTGACATTCTCATAACCAGGAACTTTTGCCTTTCGTATTCTTCGAGCCTTCTTAAGGAGAATTGTAGGAGCATGTGTCTCGGGAATAGTCAACATGACGAGAGCTGTTGCACCACCAAGCCAGAGAAGGACATAGAAACTCCAACGCCAGTCCTTCTTCAGCTCGAGGAACCCGGCAATAACAGGCCCTAATGCTGGCCCAACCCAAACCATGGCAGAAAATCCCGCCATGGCATTGCCGCGCTCGATCGGGGTCCACAGGTCTGCGAGTACGCCAGGTGCATTGCTGAGAGGTGCAGAGACAAACGTTCCAGTGAGGAAACGGCCGACAAGGAGGGCGCCAAAGTTAGGTGCCCAGGCACACAGAAAGTTAAAGATTAGATATAGCGTAAAGGTGATGTAGAAGATCCATCTTCTTCCGTAGAGCTCACTAAGTGGTGCGAAGATGAGCGGTCCAGCACAGTAACCCAGTAGAAACAGGGTAATGGTCAAGCCTGCTACCAACTCGGATACATGGAAGTGTTCTGAGATAGACGGGAAGCATCCACTAGGCGAGCTCGATGCAAAAGTAGCATTCAGTACGAGCAACACAGCTGAGAACGTGACGGACCAGCGCCGAACAGTAGACCAATTCTGTGGATTTTGAATGTCGCCTGGTGCAAAGTCGACGTAGCCATCCTCGTTTAAGTACGGTGGGTTTTCTTCTTCCAGTTGCTTAGTTCGATAGGGCTTGTTATTCGCCGATGAGAATATTCGATGTATAGGGGCCATGGCTGTTGGCAATGATACATGGCATGGGGATATTTGGCCATGGTGAGAGAACCAAGACTCATATTTATATATTGAACACACAGCGTCACTATGTCATGTCTGATATCGACTAGTGAGGTCTCTTGAAGTCAATGACACTGCTATGGTTCTAGTGTCGATTCCACAGACTCGGAAATAAAATAGAAATCAGATCTAAGTCCGTTCTCTGATCTTCATGCCGCATCACCACTTTCGCTCCACCACTGTCGTCATACCTTGGGAGGTCTTATTACACTATAGGCTGCGACACCTGAACAACGGCAATTAATTCCCGCTCATCAACGTTGAGAACTACTAACGTTGATCGAGAGGATGGCTCGGCTCTCGCGTTTTCGGATCCCCGTTGCCGTATGACAAATGTTTCGGCCGATTGTGAACGGACATTGTTATCACCGTGGTCAACGTCAGGCACTGAGACTCGGGGTGGTGA